TTGCTTTAATTATACCTTTGTCCCTTAAAATAACTTGCTTTGTCATTGTAATGGGAAATAAAATACAGAATGATGTTTTCTTTCCTGATAAACTTATTCAGTTGCAGAATCTAAATAAAACATCTAACTTGTATATTAATATTTCAGTATGCCTGCATTCTCCTAACTAGGCTTATCTGAGCATATATTAGTTATGTGAAGCTTGTTGACATACTGAAAGCAAAAATAGAACACTGCAAATATTAAGCATACATGTAAGCATGCATTAAAAAGAGCTATTTAAATTTTCCAAATATGTTGGTTTCCCTTACCACAAGATGTAGGTCATTTTCCTATCACAACACTCATTATTCCAAATCAAAATTTACAAAGTAAAGTTATTGTGAGTGAATTTCTAATGCCAATTTTCTTAAAGTTCATTGTGGCTTTTAGTGTGAAATGTAGTTTAAAAAGTATTTGCAATGCCTGTCATGGAGATATCTTGGGATTTTTTGATATTTGTTTTAAAAACTCTAAATATGTCTACTTAGAAAGTACTTTAGGTATCTTTCAGAATTCTATGATGTTTACAATTTTACAAGTTTAGGATCTATTTTCTTTTAATAATCCTTTTATTCGTTGATTTCTTTGTCTTGTCCAATCAGTTCATCTTTTGTGTTGTTTTGTTTGTGGATTATTTTGTATTTATTTTTTCAATTTTTAATTGACTTAAATAAGTTGGACAAATACTATCTCCCTAAAGGTTCATTTTTTCTCAGTCTAAGTTGTGATAGTATTTAAATCTTTCAGTATAACCAGAATTCCAGAATAGGTGGTTTATAAAAGCCGGTATGCATACTTCATACTTTTTAGATAAAGCACTCACCTGAGTGTGATTCTTCCACAAACAATATAGTCTAATTTGATTTAGCAAGTTTTGTAGCACTCTCTGTTCTGTCATATAGTCTTTTGTGTAATTTTTGATGATGTGCAATATATCCTCTAATTGTTTGGCCAGCTTTGCTAGGCGAGGAGGATATGCATGTGTTTTTCATATAAATAAAACCTGGATTTCAGCTTCCATTCCTAAAGATAACTCTGGTTTTAATTTAGAGCTTTGACATTTTGAATTCCTTGCTCTGGGAGTGCAACCTGCATTGGAAACAGTTACAGCCTGCTCGGTTTTTTGGGAGGAGTCAAACTCAAATTTGAGAAGAACTCTTAATAGCCTCATCTGCTACAAAAAAAAAAAAAAAAGCCCCCAAAGCAAGGAAGCAAAAGTGATGGAAACCACTGTGAACTGCTTTTGGTGATATGGGTATTGTGTGCATGCACAAAATGATTCAGTTACTTTTCTGAAAAATTAAGAGATAGAGATGATGAGATTTGGCTCTGCTTACATGGAGGACCAAAGAATCTCAGTGAGTCAGACAGAGGGAATCAGAAAGGTTCACTTACTGTTCTTTTCTCCCCAAACATTTTGCTAAACAAATGATTACTTTTAAAAAGGGAAAATGGTAGTACTCATATATTAAGAGAACAAGGTTGGATGATTCACTGAGTTGATAATGGTACAAGAAGTCACGGGGATCATCTCTGGAAGCACTGAAATTGGTTCTCCTGGTATTCTCTCTGGTAACTTGAGTTGGTAAATGTGAGAGTTTCTGTTTTTTTCTCAGCTCCAAAATTGTTGAAAGTAGAAGCCTGTGTTTATGAAAGTTCTTACAACAGAGACTGAATCATACAATTTACACTGAATTTATGGGTGCTGTCTTCTTTACTCAGCTGTCTCTTGTCATGGGGAGAATGGGAGGATGCCCAGATTTCAAAGGAGTCTTGTCTGTTCTTTTGAATCTCAATGATAATTCATTTGCACATAGTGGTTGTTAAGTGTAGACCTGAGACACTCTTTTTAGTTCTTCTGCTTGGAATGGATTTCTTTCCTTCTCACTGTTCACCAGGTCTCTGTAGGTAGCTGACTGCTGTGATGGGCATGAGAGCCTCCTTTAATTTAAAAACAGAAGCTGGGGAAAAGCCATCTTTCTACTGAATGGTCCATTGCTCATTTTAATTGTCAATCTTATAGTTCCCATATGGTAGCATCGTGAAGTAAGATGGTTCCTCTCTATATTACTGATAATCTTAAAGTTCAAGATAAAAACTGAGAAGATGTTGGCTAGTTTTTACCGTGGCTCAGGGAGACTATGAGCCTTGGCACAGGGAGCTAGAACTCTGTTGCTTGTAGTAGTCTCTGCTTAATCTTTGGTCAGAAAGTTGCCTTTGCAACCATTACAACTAGGAGCTTAAAAGTATAATACTAGCTCTTTAGAAGTGTGCTGAATTGTTTTACCTCACACTATGAAAGTGGCTTAATAACTTCCTGAAGAAAAAAGGAAAAGTTATGTATTTTTTATGAGATAAAACCCCCCAGCAGGTGTTTGCATAGAATCATAGAATCACTTAGGCTGGAAAAGATCTTTCCAACCACTAACCTAGTACTGCCAAGTCCAGCACTAAACTGTGTCCCTAAGTTCTTCACATCACTGATTGTAATGGAGTAAATTTTTATACCTTCATCGTAAAGCATGCTGACAGTGAGTTCTTGTATGCACTGTGCATATACGTAACTATCTGATACACACAATGTACTGTTGGAAAAATATCTTCCAAGTTTGATAAGATACAAAAAAGTGTGTTTGTATGGGGGGAAGCAATATGATGTGTTCTCTAGTTGCTGGAAAATGTATAAAAGCAAGTCAAGTTCTTCCCTGTAAGAAGCACCTGTAGTACAAAACATCGTCAAATTCTGTTCTAACATATTTTTCTCCTATTTCTGTGGGTTCATCCTATATAGCAGTAAGGTAAACTGTAAAAATTACTGCATACCAGCTGCTGATACTTCAAGTGCATTGGGAGAGAATTGATTGCTAACAAGTATTTGAGTTCGATGCCAGATGTGCAGAATAAACATTCCTGTATCTTTTCTTGAAGTAGCTGAACTATAGATGAAATACTGTTTTCAAGTGAGAGTTCTATGTGTTTCAGACAAGTCCTTTGCATATATACACAATTCTTTATTACATCTTTAGGGAAGATGGCTTTTGTCTGACTATTTTTCACTATAAGGTCAGTTTTGGTCACGATAAGAAGTAATTCTCAAAATTCTGCTCTTCTGGAGCATTGGTGAATGACTTTTAGAGTAAAGGAGTACAGCTTTTAAAAAGGCTTAAAGGCATTTAATAAGGAATAATATTACAGATGCTTACAAATGGCTTCCTGAAAGTATAGCGTGCACATATAACCTTTATTTTCATTAGCTTCTTAATGCTTTGATTTATCTCCTTCAGCTTCCTATGTAATTCAGCTTGACTTTTAATTACCCATTAATGGAGCAATCAATACAACCATAGAACTGTTGTTAATCCTAAAGTTGTTTCTGGTAATACAGTGAAGCTAAACTGAGGATAGTGCAGTTAATTTTATCACCATATTTGTGTGATTTTTGTATTTTGAGGATTTTGTTCAAAATTCAGTAAAGCAGTACATGTGATGGGTGGGATGCAAGCCTACAGACATAGACTTGAGGTTGTTTCAGGCACTGTCTGACATGAAAGTCGGTCATAGATCAGATTTTGATTGCATAACACTAACTAAATTGTAATCAGTGGGTAAATAGGGAGCTTCCAGCATGAATTCATTCATAAATCATGGACTGATTGATCAGTCTGTGGGCAGACAAGATTTTTGCTACTTAGTACAGAAGTTAATTTCTTATAGCTATGTCTTTACCAGTAAGAATAAATAATTGCACTATTCACAGGTGCCCACCAAAAATGGAAAGTACATTAAATTTGCCCAAAGGGTAAAATGTACTGCAGCATATGCCAGCCCATGGTAAATACTGAGTGCCACATTGCTTCTTGTGTCTTTATAGCTGGGAAAAAAAAATTCAACTGTGATTATTTCTCAGAGAATGCAATGAAAGTGTTGTAGAAAACTGAACTTAAGTTGGGTGTTTGGAAATTGATGTGCTTACACTTCCTTCCCAGAACAGCTGCTCTTAGGTCACAGTTGTTTGACACCCACCTCTGGGCTTTGTAAAGATTTATGTGTTTGTAATAAGAGCTGATGCTGTGCTGCGCTGATCCAGAACGGCAGAACAGCAGCCTGCTTTCAGGCACGTGTCTTAATCTGTCAGATCTCTTTTCATGCACAGCTGATAGACTTGCTTATCTCGTTTGAAGCATGCAAACAAAAGTTCTGATAATGTCTGACCCAGAAATTAGCTCTCACATTAGTAAGGTGCAGGATGGGGAAATGCATGCTTTGGTTATTTCTGCTGTAGTGACTTGCATATAATATCATGCATCAGCAGCTAAAGTTAGATCAATTAACATCTGTAAAGCGTTCTCATGTCCTTCCAAAATGTACATAACATTTTCTTTTAACTCTTATGAAAGCTTAATTGAGGTGTGTTTCTATAGACACAGGTGTGTGATGCCAATGCCAAAGGTTGTGTGTCACCTGCACAGGTCTCACTGCCGTATCTGCCAGTGCTGTGGGGATGTCCTAGAGACACAGTAGTCAATATTGCTTAAACTTTACAGAATTAGTGAGTTTAACTTTGTGATTTTTACTTTTATGCGTTCGAATTACTGAGTGTTTTTGAAAAAAAAAATAGTTTACTGAAACTGAGACTTAAATGGGCACACTAGAGGGTTTCTGTAAAATTGTGTTGTACTGTATTTTTGTGGCATTCCACCTGAAAAAATACTCATGCTAAGTTGTATTTTGCATGTTACACCATCCATGCAGAAGTAGCTTTCTATCTAGCTGCTGTGTCATGCATATACACATATTTCAAAGGATAAATAAGAAATAACCTCTATGTCTATACTGGTTTCATTTTTAGTTTGTACTTGATCGTGTTAAAGTAACTGATTTCCCAGTGCTTTCTTCATTCATTTGTTGCACAGATTGCTTCTAGCACAATCATATTTGTTTCTTTCCTGTTTATATTTGTTGGTCAGTCTACTAAATGGATATGTATGGGCTGCATTTGATAGCACTAAACTTGTGTGGGGGTGGGGTTCCTGTTCTGTGCCACCACTGTGTACATGTCTCCTCCTGTGTGTAGAGCTGTGGAAGGGTGCTCCTCCATCAGAGAAATCCCATTTCTTTGCTTCCCATGCTTTTCTGGATGAGCATTATTTGAATGCTTCTCTTTATTTTGAAGGTTAGAGGGGAAAGGCAGTTTGCTGGCAAAAGGAAACATCTCCTGGCCTCTGGCTTCTCTTCCTACTTAATTGTAATGCTATTTTATCTCTTCTTCACAGCTGTTAGGTACTCTGGGAGTGAGGTGGTCAAAAGAAAGGGTTGTGGCTTCTGAGAGTGCTATGTCCTGTTCCAGGACTAATTTCCCTTCTGTGCCCTACAGGCTGAGGTTTGTAGGGAAAAGAGCACTCTTGTCACTGCCTGGCTTAAAGCTTTGAGAGAACGTGCACTCCTTTCTATAAACTGAACATTGGGGGGTGTTTTTGGTTAATTTGTACTTATAAGAAGTTGTTTTTCTCTTTGTGTACTTGGAGCTGACGCTGTTTTTGAAAAACTCTTGTAAATTCAGGATTTGTATTGGCTATAATAATATTATAGTGGAAGTAGCAAAAATGTAACCTTTCATTCCATTTTCTCACACTCTTAATGTGAAGGTGGCCATAATAGAGGAAGCACTTGTCCATTGCGTGGGTTCTGACAACTGTGGGAACAGGGAAAGCTCCTGTGTGTTCAGAGCTGTGCCTTTGAAGCAGGGCCGGCAGCCTTTCATTTAACAGCATCCTGTGCATTAGTACGAGAGATTTCTGCTGTGTGCCTTTTATAAAAGTGCCATATGACTTAAATTTTAACACATTCTGCTGCTTTTTAGTATTGTAGTGTTCATGGAAAATGTGCTGTAAGACTAGAAACATGATTGTGTTATACAGTTAATTAAAAATAAAGGCAGATTTTTAATATGAGCTCAGTCAGTGAAATACATCAACAAAGACTTTTTTGTTGGCTGTCAAGTGAGAAAAACAGAAAAGACTCAAATTCTTTCTCTAATATTTCCTTCCAGTCTGACTCATCAGTAGAAATTGTGAAGAGCTGCAGAAGAGAAGCCAAGCAGACAAGCTGATAACTCAAAGAAATACTCTTTTGAGTTTGGGGTTCAGAGTGGAGTCATCATGAGCGATGTTACCATTGTGAAGGAAGGCTGGGTACAGAAGAGGGGTAAGTTCTACCTTTTAATGGGAAGTGCTTCTGGTGTCTCCTACAGTGTGTGCAATGATATGACATGGTTACACAGATGAATGTTCTTGATTTATCTTCTGGTCTGGAGCAATCTGACCATGTGGTCACATTAAGGCCTTGCTGGTATTGATACATAACCCTCAGCACTGTCCCAGTTTGTGGGGGTAGCTGACAGTGCAGAGAAAGTTGGACTCAGTAGTTCCCACTTCACCTTGAGCATTGTTGCTGCAGCTGCTGTTACCTGTGCATCAGACTAAGCTGGCTGTTGTGGCAGCTGGAAGAGGCAGTAATAGAGCTGTGCAGTCAAAGGTTGCCTGGAAGCTGCTGTAGGTGTGATACTTTGTGTGAAATTTCCTAGATGCCAAAATCATTCAGTGTGGCTCAGCTTGTATTACAGATGCAAGTCCCAGTAAAATCAACATAATACTTGCATAAAGCTCAGCATACACCTAATGACTTAGCAGACCTGGAAGTCATATGATTAAAGAATATATTCCTAACTATAAGCCAGTATAAAGTATGATTTTCTGTTATATTTGAATTCCTGTGAATTCTTGAGATGTCTCTTTAAAATGTTTCACCATGTGATTTGCAAATTTAGGGAGGTTGCTGTATGTTCAGCTTTGAATGTGAAACCTCTAGTCATATCTGCATTCATATCATGTGATGAACTTTGGATGAAATCTTCCATGCTCCGTGCTGCTCTGCTTTAGGTTGTGGTTGCACACATGATTATTTTCAAAAGAATATGACCTCTCTCACAGAGAGGAGGTGATCTGGATTTTAGGGTGATTTATGCCATGAGTTTCTGTGATCCTAGCCCAGAAAGATTAGACTGAAATAGTGGGAACAAAATTACCCTTTAATTTACAAAGAAATCCTTTGCTTCAATAGCAGTGTGTGAAGACAAAGATCATTATTAGCCTTATTATTGCAGATTGACATAAAATGTCAAGGAAGGCAAGATAATGAGAGAAAATTTTATTATTCTTTTATTATTCCTGCATAAATTGTATTTCTGGATGCATTATGGGTATTGTAAATGAAAATGAGCTAAACAATGTTAAGCTTAAGGCCTGCTTCCTATTTTGGAGTATATACCTGTATTTATCACAAATAATATTTTACATGACAGGAACTATTTAAACATTTAAATTATTTTTTCTTTCCACCTTGTTGTTGTTTTTTACTCAGTTTGGAGATCTGATTTCCCTTTTTGATTCTTTCATATACATTTCTTTCAAATGTATTTGAATGGTTAGGATCTCCAAATCATTTTCTTTTACATGGCATGAGTTCCTTCAGGTAATACTGCTCATTCTTATTACAACTGCTATCAACTCTATGAGCACTGGAAATGCATATATTAATTACTGGTATCCAGAAAGGGACAATTTACACTGAAATTCAATGTCTTACTTAATATTTGAAATTCTGAAATGTTAAATAAAGGCTTTTCTTCTCACCCTGTTTTACTATCAATTAATTGAAGAAAAGCCCACCAAGTTGACATTTTGAGGTCAGTTTTGTTAGTAATTGTTTTATTTTCCAATTAAAGACAATTCATGGCATGCATTTTTCTTATCATAAATAACTTTGAATTTATGGTTGTTGTTTCTTTTTTCTTCTTGCTATATGTAACTATGTAGGTTTTAGTGGGAATTTTTAAATTGCATCCAATATTGTCCTTAATTTTCTTTGACTTATTCTGGTTGTTGGTGGTTTAAAATGTTTCTTTTGTTTGTTTCTGAAAACAAAAGGAAAAGCACGGTTGTGTTTCATAATGCTAAGAATTCATAAGTGTTTTATTCAATGGTTGCACATTTCATGTAATTACACATTTTTACTCTGACCTTGCTCTGGGGCAAGAAAATCAAAACTGTTAAGTGCATTTGTTAAATTTTGCCAGGAAAAAGTATCGAACTTTATATTCTGAGAATACGCTCAGTAAACACTTATTTTGGCAGCTCTATATTCTCTTCTCTAAGAAGCATCGTGGGACTGGGTAAAGCTGTCTTGCTTCCACAGGAGATCATTCTGTTGCAGTTTTAAAGTGAATTCTTTGCTCATCAACACTTGATACTCACTGGCTCAGTTCACAGGCTGGTTTTGGTAGGTACAAGCTATGTTCCACTTGGAGAAGGGTGAGTGTGGGATCCCTTCTCCAGGCAGACATGGAATGAATTCCAGCCCCAGTGACTGGTCCTTTGGACAGCCCTGAGCCAAGTGTATGGTGCAGCATACATTTCTGAGCCTCCAGACTGAATTTATCTGGAGATAAAACTTGTGAACCCTTCCTGCTGGGAACACAGGGGCCTGGGCTGCTTCATTTGGCTGATGTTTCTGTTATGCTGAATTACTTGGTCATGTGACTATAGCCCTGGAACTTTAAAAATTGTCCCCTTCAGCAGTCAATGTGGTTTGTGATACAAGGAAAGGGAAAAGAATCCAACTTCTTTTTGTGATTCACAGCCTAGTCAGGAGTGTGGGGATGACTTGAAGGTATTGGGACGAAAAATGGTTTTGAGGAGGTGTCTAATAAGTTGGCCCATTACAAAGGCGAGTTAGGTGAGCTCAATGTAGAAATGAGAGGGGAGGACTAAAAATAGAGCTGGGGATCTCTTCCTGAATTGAGATTCTGCTAGAGAGAGGCTAGGGAAGACAGGGTATGTTAGAGCACCCTGAAAGGCTGTGAAAGGCAGTGAAAAGATGTTTGCTTTATTATTATTCTTAGTGCTGTATCCATGTCAGTAATAGAGGGCTGAGAGCTATATGTTTTTAAGGTTTTCAGCCTGCTGTTGAGCACTGAAGAATCAGATGTGATGCTACACAGTTGGCTTCAAAGCCCTCTTTTTCTTTGTGTGCTTAAATGAGGCACCCATTAAAGTATTAATGTTTTACTCAAAGTTAAGAAATGGCAGGATTAAGTTTTTTTGAGACTCATCATACTAGGGCTTTGAGTAGTCTTTAGGAGAAGCAGTTTCAGTGTGGTGAGAGTAGATGATACTGTGGAAGAGTAAGCTGTTGAATATGAAAAGTCAAATGAGCAGAGATGACAGGCTGGAGGTGAGAACTTTGGACAAGAGAAGACACCAAGCCCAGGGGGAAGCAGTGCCTGAGAAGCTTGGGGAACCTCGGGTCCCAGGTGAAAGGAGACCCTGAAGCACAGTGCCGGGTGTGCCTGAGCAGGTAATGAAGCCCAGTGAGAGCAGGTTCGGAGAATGAAATAATTGGTGTTGAGGACTTGATACCTATCTACACTTAGTGCATTTGTACAGTGAAGTGGGTGTTAATTTGGACTGGCTTCTGTCTGCTTCTGTGTCCCTTTGGCAGTGGTAGTGCTCCTGGAGTACATCCTGTGGTTTTTAGTTTCATCTGAGAGGAATCAGGTTTGTGCACTGTGGGACTGCTTCAAGCAGCAGATGAAAGTGCATTAACTAGGGTGGTGGGCAGACTTGCTGCAAAAGCACTTTCCTTATCTGAACTAATTCAGGTCCCTGTGAGACATCAGAACTTGAACTAGTGGAGAACCAGCAGAGCAGTCTCCTTAGAGTGGAGTCTCTGCTCAGGCAAGAGAGGAGTGGGAATGCATTCTGTAAGGATGGCTTTGTGGCTGGAACTTACTGTCTTAGATCCAGTGACAAGAACCAGGCAGCTCATGGCCGGTGTCCACGTGTGGCTGCAAAGATATTGTTGTAATTCACTGGCTTAGTGAGGATAATTTTTGTTTCTGTTCCCCAGTTATACCTGTAGCCAGATTAGGAGAGAGATGCATTGTCTCTTCCTCTATGAATTTACTTTTTAGATGACACCAACATCTTTCCTTGTAATGCACACAGAAAGGGAAGCTGTTTTGACAAAAAACCTTAAATACAGTTAGATGAACCTTGTTGCTGATATGCAGAAATTAAATATTTGACATTATTGCAGTTAGTGTAAGCACTCTGCAGTAATTGCTAAAATGACTTTTACATTTTGGATTTGCAGAGGACAATGTTTTGCAGAGTGAGTATCTTTAAATTTATGTAAAGGTTAGTATCCTTAATTTTACTTAACATGCTTTTACTGTATTTACTAAATTAAATTACATGATTTGCAGAGAGGGATATATTTTTAATTTATCAGTTTGGAAACAGATTTTTTTTTTTTACATGATGAACATGCCTAGTGTGATTTGGGCTGTATCATTACAGAAGTGAGTTTTATGCATATAATTCATGTGGTATTTTTTCTTTAAAGCCAAAGTTTTCTGAGTTGTAGACGTGACCTTGTCTGTGGTCTATAATAGTCACAACAATTAGATTTAAGAATCTTTCATAACTATGCTTAATTGCAACCTAATTTCTTTATATATAACCTGTGCACAGAATTTCAATTAATTTAAACATATGACAGGATTTAAGAGTTTCTGTTACCATGTTATTGAAAGATCATTAGGGACAAAGGAAGAATTGACACAGATGCTAACTTTTTAAAGGACCCAGTTTTAAATTTAATGTGTCAGCTAACTTTGTCTTTAATTGAAAGAGTAAGGTTTTGGTGAGGATATACCTAGTGTGTAAGCACAACACCATGGCTAAATCATTGTTTAAAGACAAAGCAATATGTTAGTTTAAATTAGTGCTTGTGTTGCCACACTTCGATTGCCTTTCCTCTGTTTGGGCTTTGGTGTTCTGGTGTGGTGTGTTAGGTAATGCAGTTTGCCATGGCTCACATGGTGTACATGTACCAGCATTCCAGTTTTGTGGAGAGGGAACCAAAGTCCAAAAGTGTTGGGGCTTAACTGTAATAGCTTAAGAAGTTTGATGTAATGAGATGGTGGTAAAAAAACAGATGTCATGAAGCTTTCCTGTAATGAGATTGTCCTGTAAATAGTGTATCACTGAAATACTGTAATATGATTTTTCACTCAATGTTTTTCTTTTTCTTTTTTTTCCTTTTTTAAAAATACTTTCAGAATTTCTTCATATATAAAATTG